TGGCTGGCGCCTTAGCTGCTTGAGCCACAGGCGCCAAGCCCAAGACCCTGTTTCTACAAAAAAAAAAATTTAAGGATTAGCCAGGTGTGGTGGCAAGTATCTGTAGCTACTAAGGATGCTGAAGCAGAAGGATTGCTTAAGCCCAGGAGTTTGAGGTTGCAGTGAGCTGTTATGACAGTACTGCACTCTATCCAGGGGACTAGCTATTTTCAACTTCAATTGATAGGGCTTGATTAATTTTCAAAGTAGTTGAAAGTCTCAATACTTGGCGGTGCCTGTGGCTCAAAGGAGTAGGGCACTGGCCCCATATACCGGAGGTGGCAGGTTCAAACCTGGCCCTGGCCAAAAAAAAAGAAAGTCCCAATCCTTATCTAAAGTCAGTCCTGATTTCAGATCTTTTAAGTAGAGAATGGATTGAGCACAATTCACTTATTGGCCAGATTGTCTTTTTGTGTAGGAGTCTGATATGTTCTTTTTCTCTATTTCCTCCTGGGAGCTGCCTTCTAGCTCCACCTCCTAACACTCCCTAGTCTCTTCCCTGACCCCAAGGGTGGGCAAATCCTGGCCTATGTTTTTGCTCCTGGGATAAAGTGTGCTGAGGTTGAGAGAGCCTGGAGGGTTGGGAGGAAAGTTTCTTATTTTTCCCAACATGGTTGGGGGTGGAGGGGTCAGTAGGTGGGTTGAGCCCTTTTTGGAAAAGGCAGACCTGGTGGGCCCTGAATGCCCACTGGTGGTACCTATGTGTCCATCCCCAACCCAGAGAAAAGGGCCGTAAGGAGAGAGAGTCTCTACAGCAGATGGCAGAGGTCACCCGCGAGGGGTTCCGCCTAAAGAAGATCCTTATTGAGGACTGGAAGAAGGCCCGAGAGGAGAAGCAGGTGGGGGGGCCCTGGAAACTGACCTGGAACCATCTAGACATTGAGGCTTCAAGACATGAGCTGGCAAGACCTGGTGGGGTTTACACCTGCCCTGACTAGCAGTGTCCTGGGGCAAGTTAGAACCTGCCTGTTCCTTGCTTTCCCACTTGTGTACTGGACATTTAGTTCTTAGCTAATTAGTTGCCAGGTGGGAGGCAGTCATCTCAAGTATATCAGGGCTTTGGACATCAAACTGAAGTGGGCTAGAAGGGCCACTGACACTTCATAGGAGCACAAGG